GGAGGCGCTGGGCCTGGGGGAACAGGATTTCCTCGCCTCCTGGGCGCGGCCGCTCCGGGCCGGCCGCACAAGGCCCCCTTTGTGGCGGGGCCCAGCTCCTGCGCAGACCCGAGGCAGCGAACAATAGCTCAATGTTGCCGCTCGCCGGGCCAGGCTCTCCCGGTTACCCCACGGCCCGCCGAAGGCGAGGAAACCGGGTGGCGCTTTTTTATAGTCACGCGTATAAAATCGGGGCTTTCTCCCCTTTCGCTCGCCCCTACCCCAACGCCGATAGAAAGCAGATAAATTTATGAAGGGCGAGCTAAGAGAATAATTACAGGGTGAAGGCCGTTAAATTTTATTTCCAGTCCCAAAGGCAAAACCTGCGATTTTATTGCAGACATCTGGAAGGACCAAGAGGTGGGCACGCTGCTGGTTTAAAATAAAAACAAAAGATTTTATTTCGCGAAAACAAAAAAACATCATTAAAGACCCTTTTGCCCCCACGGACATTTATTTTTCAAAAGTGGGAGGGGGCTGTGGAGCAGTCAGCGCCAACGCCCGGCCCGAGGCTCCCGGCGACCTGACCGAGGTGCGGTCCGCGGAGCCGGCCTGCAGGGGTGGGGGGTGGAGGTGGGCGTTTCCAGAAACCGACCCCCTCCCGCGCCCTCCCCGAGGGCTCGCCGCCAGGTTTGCCGCCCTGTAACTGGGCGCCAGTTTGGAAGAAGAAGTGAAAAGTGGGTACGTTTGGCCTCATATTCCCCCAAGAGTGGATCAAAGCAACCATAAAACCTCAGGTCGGATCCGCCTCCCACCGATGGTCTTGCCTGCTCGGCTTAACTGTAAAGTATTTAGGAGTCCTTCACTCCGCCGGCAGGGAAACTGAGGCACAGGCCATTCACTGACTTGCCTAAGGTCACCCAGAGCCGAAGGGGACCTTCAGCTAGGCTTCCCTGAACTGCCTTGGAGTCGGGAGGGTCACCTCCCACCCCATAGTCGCCTCATAATGTTTTATATCTAGTGCCTAGACAGGCTCAATTCATTGTAATGGGCTTCCCCCCCCCCCCCCACAGTGTCCTGCCCGCGTGTTTAAGGGCACACTAAGGTGTCCTGCTGGCAACTGTTTTTCACTTTGTTTTCAATTACTCAAGACTGCAGAATCGCACCGATCACCTTGTACTGAGGCTTGAACAGCGGGGCTACGTGGGGTGATGGTTAGTGTGGAGAAACCGGAAGAAGAATGCTTCGTGGGTGGGGGAGGGGATGTAGAAGCTGTGTTTCCAGGACCCTTGTCTTTACACTGCAGAACTCTGGTGTTTCTTCGGAAAATCAAAATATCTGGACACAGTCAGTTTTAGGTGAGCAGTCATTATCCCGCCCTTTCCTTCTAGGCTTCCCTCAGTCAAGGCTGGGAATGGGCATTCATTTCCCATCAGTCCCTACTGGTGGTGGGTGAGTTCCTCTCCCCCACTTCCCCCCTCCATCCCCTTTGACTCCTCCCATGCATAATAAACTTCTCTTCCTCTTGGGGTTCCTGCAGTAGATAGGGAGGGGGTCCCCCAGCGTGTTCCTTTGCCATCAGCTTCAGGCCTGAAATCGACCCCTAGACTCCACCCAAGACCCAAGGTTGTGTTGGCTGGGAGACCTGGGAATGGCTTCAGGGATTAGCCTCAGGTGTTGGGCACCCCACTTCTATTCCTAAAGGTGGAAGAAGAGAGAAACTGTGTAATGAGATTTTGAAAAGACGTTGATATAATGAGTGGAGGAAAATGCACACTCCCAGATTTTTGCATTGAGTCCCCCAAACCTCTTTTTCTTCTTTCCAATCACATAAACTTATACACTTAAATCACAAACAGTTAAACCGTCCTGCTTAAGATTGCCCCGGGCCGTCTTCCCCATCAGTACAGGGTCATGAACCAAGGGGTGCATGCCCCTGGGGGTTGGGGGGCACAAAGCACCATAGATTGACCCCTACTATCACAAAAAGGAAATATACCTGCCCCTTCCATTCATCTAGAGGAAAATTCCTATTTTCCTGACAGATCCAAAACAACCTGGCTTTATTACCATCTGATTTGTTTTAATGCTTCAACCCACAGTTCTAGGGCATGTGTCTATATGATAGAGGTGGGGGCCACCTACGTGTGACCTGAAGGAGGGGTGTGGGGGCTCCTCTAAGAACTCTCTGCAGTGCGTAGGCTTTGGGGTGAGGTGCAGATGCACGCCACTGAAGGCACTGCTCTCTTCTCCGTGCCCATCCCTCCAACATGTGTGTGGTCACCTACGTTGTGTAGGCTTTCTGGGCCTGCATGTAAGTATGTGGGTAAACCAGAAGTTCTCTTTTTGAGAAACGTCCACAGCCTCAGGGAGGGGGTAAGACCTAGGGTGCACCTACTTCTCAATCCAAACTAGGTGTGTGAGAAAAGAGCAAGGCAAGAGGCTGCCAGAGGGATGGGAGATACAGGCAATGGGGAGGAGGAAAACGCTGGGAAGGAATAGAGCTTGGTCCCTTGGACCCCACTGGGCCTGGTCCCAACAGGCCCCAGTCAAGGGCAGTCACACCAGAATCGGGAGCCATAAGAGGTCTGAGCTGCCCGAGAGGGTAACTGCGCGTTTGGGGCCTGCCCTCGCCGCCAAGTCCAAGGCCCGGTAGTGCTGATGGTGTGTGGTCACTTTCTGCCCGGGCTCCTGGAAGCAATGCTGAGTGGTACCTGAGGTGGAGGACCCTGCACCTCGCTGCTCCAATTCCTGGAGTTTGCCTTGCAGGGTGGCCGGAGATGCAGAGGGCCTTTGTGCCTAGCCTCTAGATTCCAGGGATTTTGGAGGGCTGCTCCGGGATCCCCAAGCCTGAGCGAGACAGGCTCCTGGGAGTCAACGGAGGACAAGCCTGGTGGAATCGCACGCATCCAGTGGCTGTTCCATTATTCCTCCTGCCTTTGCTGCGCCACTAGCTTCCTCTAGTCTGGCTGGAGCCCAGTTTGAGGGGGCTCCAAAAATGTTCTTTTTTGTTTTCCTCTGAAGAGGCCAAGGTACATTCATGACTCTCTGCTGTTCCCTCCAGCACTGGAGCGCTTCTAATGTCAAGGACTAGATTTACCCTTCGGTCAGGAGGGGGAATGTGGCATTTCAGACACCCGGCAGGCCCTTCCTACTCGCCCCAACGTGGAAAGTCTTGTTCTTAGGGGGCCGGTGGCTTGCAATGGGCCCCTCTGCCCTAGGCTTGCTGACTGTGCTCAGGGCCTGGCTGTCTGCGAGACTTGTCTGCTGAGCCTCTCTCTTCGGTCTGTCGCTCGAACCCGACAGCTGGCTTTTTCCTGCCTCTTCGCACGAGGATAGAAGCCTCTCCACCAGGGCATTGGGACGCGAAGATCAGCCTGTGGCTAGGCCACCATCCGCGAAATCCGAGACCTTTTTTCTGCTTGGCAGGATCAGCTTCTCGGCCTCTGAAATGGCTCTGCGTTGGGCTCCCCTTGGGGTCCCCTGCGGGCCCGCGACCAGCAGCGTAACCCAGAAGGGGGTGTGGAAAATGAGAATGGCCTGAGTGCTGGATTGTTAGTTCCGTAGAAGTCCCTGACGACCGCACTGTCCTGAAAGATTTTTTTTAAGGGTTGAGAGAGGCTCAGCTGGCGGGGAGAGCCTGGTTCCCGAGATGATCAGATTTGAAGGGTATTCTGAAAAAGCTCCTCCGCTGTCAAAGTTCCTGGCTGCCCTCGCCCAGCCCCTCTCCGTGGGTTCTCCGGCACAAGCGCCCCGAGCAGGCGAAGCTCAGATCAGCATCCACTCCGAAGCAAAGGCGAGCATTTGCTGCGTGCGGGCCCAGTCGGGATAAGTCTTCGGAGCGCGCGGTAAGCCGGGCGCGCCACGGCCGGCCCTTTGCTTAGGGAGAACATACGTCTTCCCCTCCGCCAGGTAGCCCTGGAAGGAGGAAGCGATCTTTAGACTTCCGATTGCAAGACCCCGGATAGTAACGGGGCGTCTTGGTTTGTTTCTTTCGTTTTGCTTTAGCCAAAGGTGACTACAAATCGTAGAGCCGGAAAATAACCTGTGTGGCGAAGTCCGGGCAGAACCGGGAAAGCGAATAGCATCTGGGGGGCAGGCGCGAGGTCGTCAGAGGCGTTTTCTGGTGTTTTTGGACAGGTTGAGAGCCCCCCGAATTCCAGATTGGGAATTTAAATGACTCCGGGCTTGCAGCATCTATGAGACCTATCAGATTTGGAAGGAAAAGGTACGGATTTGGGACTTGCAGGAGTTTGGAGCGGCACAGATCAGACCACGACTTTCAGCTCTCCTCCCTCCCCACACGAGGAGCCCGTGGGGGACCGGGCAGCCAGGGGTTAAAGTCGGCCCAGGAGCATCCCGGGGACTACCCGCGCGGAGCCTTGGCCCGAGCCTCAGTCTCTCTCCTTCTCTCATTGGCCCGCGCTCTCTGGGTTTCTCCGGTTCCCTCCTCGCCATTGGTCGGGGGCTGGCTTTTTTTCCCCTCAGTCTCTCTCTTCCTCCCCCTCCCTCTCCCTCGCCCCTAGGACAGGAGCGCACCGCCTGCCCCCAGCTCCTCGGGAAGGGAGGAATTTAGAAGAAAAAAAAAAAGTTTCCCAGAAGTTTGGATCGGAGGAAGGACGGGAAGACCAAGAGAGGAAGAGGGAGAGGGAGGAGAGAGAGGGAGAGGGAGGAGAGAGAGAGAATAAAAAAAGATGAAGTCCAGTCTGCACAGCCTGTGAGCGCCTGCCCGGGGAGGGTGGGAAGCAGGACTCGGGCGCTCATGCTGCGAGCGGGCGGCGCTCCGGGCGCTCGTTCCTAGCGGCTGGGGCAGCCAGGGGCGTCGGTCCGAGCCCGTGGCGGCGGAGGGCGGGGGAGGACGCAGGGGGAGGGTGCGGAGGACCCGCAGGGCCGCCGCCTCGGTCTCGGCCGCCGCGCCGCCGCCTCTCCCGGGCTCGGCCCGGCGGGCGCTCGGAGCGAGAGGGCGCGGGCTGCTCCCTCGGTAGCGGGGGCGAGCGGAGGCCGGGGCGCGGGCGGCTAAGATGAGTGAAAGGAGAAGATCTGCAGTCGCCCTGAGCTCTCGAGCACATGCCTTCTCCGTTGAAGCCTTGATCGGCTCAAATAAAAAGCGGAAACTGCGAGACTGGGAGGAGAAGGGGTTGGACCTGTCCATGGAGGCGCTGAGCCCCGCGGGCCCCCTCGGAGACGCGGAGGACGCGGCCGCGCACGGCCTGGAGCCTCACCCGGGTGAGTGCGCAGGACCGGGCCGAGGGAGGCGGGCGGAGAGCGGACGCCGGGCGGCCCGCGGGCGGGCGGAGCGCTGTGGAGCGAGGCCCTGCCCGCGGATTCCCTGCCTGGCTCCAGTGCGGGTTTCCTTCTCTTTGCGCACACGCCTCGAGCCTTCCCCAAAGTCGCTGCAGACAATATAGGAGGAACTGAGCCTTGTGTTTTCGTCGCCAACCTCAAGCAAGGAGGCCTCGCCCGCATCCCTTTCTCTTCTGGAGCGGAGCGCGACTGAGCGGCCGCAGGCCCCCGGGGTTAAGGAGGGGCACAGATCCAGGGCCACGGCAGGAGCGGAGAGGGGCCGGGGCTGGCTTGCGAGAGCTCCGGAGAACTGGCGGAGCTCCCGGGCTCGACACCCTGTCTCGGGAAATGCCCAGTTGGTCCCATTTAGCTTGCGACCTCGGTTCTCGCCCTCCCACCCCACCCCCGCCCCCCAACTTCCCTGGGACTCAAATTGTGTTTCCCCTACTCCGGCGACGACGGAATGGCGTGTATGGAAAGAGAATGTACGGTAGACCTCTTACCCTGCGCCCTGGGCCACTCTTCCGGGCCCACACCTCTGTGTATTGCTGGGGGAGCGGTGAGATTAATTTGTCTCGGATCTATGCACATTATATGTACACAACACGTAAAACACAGAGCGGATGTCGGTGTCTGTATTTTAGCAGAAACCTGGGCGGGTGGTGGAGGGGGAGACAACTTAAAGTTTTGTGTTAAGTGCCAAGATTTCAACTGTGCAAAACAGCCCGGGGGAACAGCTGTTGTCGGAAGAATCTTGCGCGCGCGCGCACACACACACGCGCGCGCGCGCCCGCAGCTTGGGTCTAGCGGTTTCAGAAACTTTCCAGCCAGGACTTCTATAGCCATTCTGGAGGTGCTCCTGTTGACCGGCTAGGGCTGGGGAGTAAACCTGGGTCAGCGCGCCGAAAAGCGGGAAGGCAAAGTGGGGTCGGCGGCCGGCAAAGGGACGGGGGCGGCCACGGGTTGAAGAGCTCGGGGACGGAGCTTGGGGCCCAGGGGTTTGGGGGCTGGAAAGCTGGCCGACCCAAGGAGGGACAGCTGTCGCTTACATTTTCTCTTTCGGCAGTGACAGTTCAATTTCCATGCTCCTGAGGCTAATAATAACGCGATTAGCGGGTGACTTGCAGAGACAGGGTTTTATGAATTCTCCGTGTTCTTGTGGCCCGTTACGGTATTTGAGTTTAGTGCTGGGGAATTATTTTTATTAGTCGATGAAAAGAAAATTAAAAGGAGATTTATTTCGTCCGCTCAAGTCTTTCTCTGTATTTGGATGCGGGTGCTCGTCCACGCGGACCCCTGTGTGGGCAATCCAGACAAGAACGCGTGGCTAATGTGTGTTTCCCATCTCTGACCAGACCCTACTTCCTCACCGCATTTATATGTTGTCAGAATCTCACTCGGGCCTTCACACGGTTTCGCGGAAGTTCCTTCAGGCCTCATGACCATTCGTGATTTGGGAGGTTAGTTTATTTTATTTTCCCGACGGTGGGAAAGGCAGAAGTTATTTAACCGCGCCTGGCAGACCCCCTGTCCGCGATTACTTTTCTCTAAAGAGGGGGCCAAGTTAGGGTTAGGTCGGCCGGCCGGAGCCGGTTTTGGGTCGCACGTTCAAAAGGACCAACATATGGGGTCACAATCAGAGACTCAGCTCGCAGTTCTCTCTGATCGCCGTCCTTTTCAGCCACAGTGAGGAGAGAAACGGTTGGAGCGAGGTGAGACCCGTCCGGAGACCCAAACGCGAGGGCCTGGTATCCAGAATGCGGTTCCCGACCTAATACAGAACTTTGTGCTACATAGAGTTCAGCTGACCGTTCTCATTCCCTTTATCATTCTTTTGTACAAGAAGAAAAAAAAAAAAAAGACGGTCGTTTGGATTAGGGAAAACGAAATCTGTATGTGGGGCTACAGCCCGGGAGGAGGAAGCAGCTGAAAGCCGAGAGCGCTCGCGGGCTACCAGCCGGGCCTCGCTGCGGCGTGCGCCTAGGGGATCTCCAAGTTGGAGCCCCTGCAGTGGCCAAAGCTTTCTGATGAACCGGACGTAGGATGAGAAAAGATCTTTCAGAGAAACTGCGCGGTAGCGGAGGCTCTGCAGCCCCCGGAGCGGAGGAGGCGGAACTGCAGGCTCTGGGCCCGGATGGTGGCGGAAGGCGAGGCCAGGGCTCGGGGTCCCTCTTAGGCCTTTCTTTCTTTTTCCTCTAATAGGGCGCCCTAACGAACACATACAAAGGAGGCCACCGTGAAGGTGTGTGTATGGTGGTGGAGGAGGGAAGGGGCACAGGCGACTCTGTTGTGCCCAGGGCCGTGCCTCCGCCGGCCTTGGCCTCTAATTGTTCAAACTCTCTTCCCGGATTGGGACCGAGAGCAGGCTGGACCCGCTGCAGGGCTCGCCTGCGCTACGCCGGTGATAAGAAGTCAGGAACGGGGTTGGGGGTGGGGGGGTGGGAGGGGAAACGACCACAACAAAACCAAAATTGCCACGGAGCTTGGGGAAGGATTCAACAAACAGGCTGACTTGCACTGGACACACGCCTGGGGCAATTCTATGTATCATTTTCACCACTCCCTCCCTCTGTCTGGGCCGTTCCGTTTCCAGCCTTCTCTGTCCGTGCCTTTAAATCCTCCGACAACCCAAGGGCCAGATTTTAATGTTTAACTTTTATTCAAAGACGTGGCCTTTTGCTTTTTCACAGCCCAGTTTTTCTTTCCGCGTGCGGACAGAGCTGGCTTTAGTTGGCGCAGAGCGCCCGCAACCCCGGGCGCCAACCTGCAGCAGCGGGGAACCCGCGCGGCCCGCGGGCGCTCACACACCAGAGGACCCACAGTATGTATTTCAAAATTTTCCAACGAGCCTGCTGGTCCCGAAACACCCTGAGGCCTAAAGGGCCTTGGAGAAGGAAGGGCCTGTGAGATGCCCTCATTATTGCCAGAAGTCCGCGTCTTTGGAGAAGCCGGCGGGACGTAGCTGCCGCTGGCTCGGGAGGGTCTCCGAGGAGCCCGACTCTCGGGCATGCTTGCCTCTGCCTCTCACCGAGCAGCGACAGTGAACTCTTTTGAGCCAGGATCGCCCGGAACAGCTGCTCGGGCCGCGGCCTTGGAAGTATATTTCAGGCGCGCGGCGGCGCCATCTGCGCTCGGACCCCAGCTCCGGCTGCGCCCGGCTCCCCCAGCTTGCGTTTGGGCCTTTCCCGCCCAAATCCACAGCCGAATGGGGCCGAGGTCCGGTCTCCCGCGGAGCGAAATAATTCAAACCTTCTGCGAAAAGATTTCCCCCTTCAGGGCCTGCAGCCCCAAGCCTTGCAGCCGAGGCGCTCCAGAGGCCTAAGAAGGTGGCTGCGTCCGCGGGTGGGCACACAAAGCAGGCACACTCAGGAACACGCGTGCGGATACGCACTCCGCGCACACGTGCACACGCTGCAGGCTCGCGCGGCCAGTGCACCCATCTACGCGATCCCTGGAGAAAGGAGACCGGAAAAGTCCATGTGGCGCCCCAGAGCACTTTTCTTCTTTCGAATTCCCGAGATCAGCTGTTGATGAGAATTAATCTGCCAGTTTACGGCTTGTTTGCCCAGAGTAAAAGTCCCAAGATTTTAATCCTGACATCACCCCTCCACCCACCCCAATCCCCAATAGGGAAACACAGGTCAAAACGGAGGAAGTGACTCTTCACTGACGTTTAAGTAATGGAGAAAACGCGATGAGTTTGGAGCCAGTGGGGAGAGTGTATGCTTGTGCTGGGCAAGAACCAGCCGTGGCGCACGCCGGGCTTGGAGCGCAGGGCAAGGCTGTGGGGTGCGCTGGGCCTGACGCCAAAGCGTATGCCTGAGCTAGAGTCCGGGGCGAGGAACACTGGTTCCTCAGTGGTGCGAGCGCCCCTTCGCCGGTGCAGGCCTCGAAGGTGCCAGGCCTGGACCCGGAGGATGAGCCAAGCGTGGTGCCTGCTGGACGCGCGCAGCGCTCTCGCCTGCCAAGTCAAAGCGGTCGTCCGCGGTGGCCTCGCCTTTGGTGAGTGACCTTGCGTGAACGGGAGTGAAGGGGTAGGCGAGATCTGCATTCGTCCCAGGCTGGGGAGGGCGGCTGTGCTCGAGGAGGGCTGCTGAGGCCCTTCGGTCGAGCTGGTCGGACGCTGGCCAAGTCGCGGGGCTGGGAGAGCGCACCGCACGGGCTCCCGGGAGGCGGACAGGCTTCTGGAGACGTTTCGGTGTAAAACACCAGCCCTGGTGCGGTGGCACACAGAAGCTGCCACCCCCTCCCCCCCCCCCGCCTCCCACGAAGAAGGAAGCAGTTCTAACCCCCAACATTCGTAAACTGCTGGAGGGCAGTGGGTAGGTTGGAAAATGGGGGGGAAACCCTATTGCCCAGTGTTTGGAATGTGATGGAAGGAGGGCGGAGTGTGCTGTGTTTTGCACCCCCGCAGGTCGACTCCTGTCCCCTGCGCGCTTCACTGGTCCTTGTGATGAAGGTAACAGGCAAGTGGGGGAGGGGGGGTCGGGCGGGAGGGACGGTCTCTTGCGAGGGATGGTTGCTGCGAGCTCCCTCGCCCGGCCCCGCCCCCCACCTCTGCACCTCGGAGACTGGTCCCCACGCGCACAAGTTTAATGCCCGGAGCAGGCTTTCCTGAACGGATAGATCAGCTCCCAGCCTAGGGACACAGCGTTCTGAATTCGTGTCTTCCTTCCACGCCCCGTCCAACGCTATCTCTTACTGAACACGTTTATGTGAAAAGCTGGACACTTTTAGGTTTCCTGATGTTATAGGTTAAACTCCCAGAAAGAAAAGTTCACCCGGTGACGTTCATGCAGGGGGAAAGGGAAATTAAATACCTAACAGTGGAATTTGTATTGAAATTATATTGACACACATCCGCTAAGGTGTTTCTGCCTCCCCACCATTACTTCAAATGGTCTCATGACCATCTTTTAAATATTAAAGGAAAATTAGTTTAA